GGGGGGGGGCCATGTATCTGCGGAAGGAGCACCCCTGCAGGTATCACCAGCTCTTTCTTTCTGTGTGCAGCACCCTGATAAAGGCTTATGGGCAGAAAGGCTAAGGATGAATGATGTTTCGGGGTCGGCAGGATCTGCACATACACTCTGGTCTTGCTCTGCTCCGTTTCAGAGAGTGTCGGAAGTTTCCAACCACTGGTGGCACTCTATGCTCATCCTCCCTCCTTTGCTGAAAGACAGCGTGGCGGCGCCTTTGCTGTGTGCCTACTACCCTGACTGCGTTGGCATGAGCCCCTCCTGCACCAGCACGCACCGTGCCGCCAGCACCACCAGCCCTGGAAAGCTGGACCACGCCAAGGCAGTCCCCTCTGTGCTGGGTAAGAGCGATCCCAGGGTCCTGCTTCCCTGTCCCCTCCCCCTCCTTGGCAATGCAGGGAGTACAGGGGGCTTATTGATTCATGTGTGCAGCCTGGTAGATAGACTTCGTTATTTCATGGATTTGGTTTTACCATGGACCTTGAACAAGACAGGTTTGAACTGCACGGGCCCATGCAGATGCGGATTTTCTCCTAAACTTGCAGTATGGATAGGCAGAGCAGTAAAATTTCTCTTCCCGATGATTTTCTTTTCTGTGACACACTTAACTCTGAGAACATGGTACGTCTTACATAGAACATACAGAGTATGTTAATTGATCATTTATGTAGTTAGAAGGCTTCTGGTCACAAGAGGCAATTGTAGTTAAATTGGGAGGAGTCAAAAATTATAATGTACCTAGTGGTGCATTGTGTTAAAGTGCAGCACTGTGAAGCTGCCCACAGCCACTGCAGCATGAGTTTGATCCCCAGCCAGGGAGCTGAGTCACACAGCACCGCAGGCCTCTCCTGTCCCACCCACTGCTCCACTCAGCCATGTATTTCAGTAGATCTGCCTGTTCTGCTCCCCACTCTGTCTCTGGTCTCTGATGAATCCTCTCACCCCACCCCTACCTCTAGCCTGTACTATAGCTATTCTAATGAATGCATAAATAAATAAATATTTTTTTAAGAATTATATGCAGTGTTCAACTGTGCGGGGAGTTCGGCACCCCCAACCCCCTATTCAGGGGTCAGCTGTATGTGGATCAGTCATGTCATTTGTATAAATTGTACAGCTAGTTTTCCTTTAGTATTTGGAATGCACCTTACCCTGTACAAGAGTCATGTCTTCAGGGTTTTGTGGGTGCTTATTTGAAAGGGCGCCATCATTGATGCTGCTGTAAACTTTGACTCTTCATACAGCCCTACTTTTTTCTCTCTAAGTCTTTCTGCTTCTGCACCGGTCATCTCAGGAAAAATGATCCAACCTTGAAAAAAATGTAAACTTCAAGTCCCAGCAGGCATGCTCTTGTCTGTTTTGTTTTAAAGGAATCCTAAAAATTTGACATCTAGTTTTTCTCCTGTCTGCACACTGACAAAGTTTGCTTTTGATGGTACAAACAACTTTTTTTTTTTTTAAATTCAACCATTAAGAATTTTATTTGGATCGAGATGGAAAAAAAAATGTGCAAAATGATGTAAAAATAAACTTTGTAATAAATAAAATAAAAGAAAAAAAAATAATTCAGAATCAGCAAAAAGG